CAGGAGGCTCAGCAGGAAGACCAGGGCATAGATGACGACCACGGCATACTTGTTGAGCGTCTCAGTGTCCATCTTACAGGGACTATAATGACGTTCTTCTGTGGGTGGCGTGCCAGTGAAATTTGCAAACTCATCCTCAAACAACTGCCACAAATCAGTGTAATTAAATAAATCATTCAGGATGATAGTCATGGTTTGATCTGGTTGAAAGATTAGAAGGAAGGAAAGGTGATTTAGTAACTCAGATTCAAGTCACTCTCATCAAGGATGTGATAACAGGACTTCCCTGGTGGCGCAGTGGATAAGAATCTGCCAGCCAATGCAGGGGACACGGGCTCGAGCCCTGGTCCAGGTAGATCCCACATGCTGCAGAGCAACTAAGCCCACGCACCACAACTACTGAGCCTGAGCTCTAGAGCCCATATGCCACAACTACTGATCCCACGTGCCGCAACTACTGAAGGCCACACACCTAGAGCCTGAGCTCTTCAAGAAGAGAAGCCACTGCAATGAAAAGCTTGCACACCACAACGAAGAGTAACCCCCGCTAGCCACAACTAGAGAAAGCCCGTGCAGCAGTGAAGACCCAATGCGGCCAATAAATTAAGTAAGTATGTAAGTAAGTAATTAAAAAGGACGTGATAGTGGTTACTGGGATATCTTCTGCTTCTCTGCTAGTTTGGTAGCCAGAGATCCCTTCTTTCATCTCTATCTCGGTCTGCTTTAGAGATCAGCTTCACCGTGTTGTCAGCTTTCCATAACTCCGAGGCTTGAATGTGGGATAAGATGGACTACAGGGAAAAACCTCTGCTGTTGGTCGGCCTTACAACGGCATCGACTCTACCTATAATACTGCCTCTGTGCTCTCTTTGGCTTTCTCCATCCTCAGCCATGTCTGTGCATTCAGATGGGAGGACCAGCTTGGTCCTATACATTCATGGGAGGGCCAGAATCAGGCAAAATGGAAGGAGGCAAACCTTCCTCAGATGTCTTCATCTGTTCAGATGTCCCTTTCTATGTTATTTCCCCTACGTGCCGTGCAGCCTGTGAGATCCCAGTTCCCTGACCAGGGATCGAACCCAGGCCCCAATAGTGAGAGCGCTGAGTCCTAACCACAGGACTGCCAGGGAATTCCCTTCCTGATTCTTGTTTAACCTTTTTAAAATCTACTGAGGGAAGAAAATGATAGCAATGGATTTCATTAAAGTGTATTTTAAAGGACTTCCCGGGCGGTCCAGTGGTTAAGACTCCATGCTTCAATCCCTGGCTGGGGAATTAAGATCCCACATGCCGTGCAGCGCAGCCAAAAAATAAAGGTGTATTTTAAGCCTTTTCTCTAAGGGAGCAATAAATGTTTGGGTCCTCTGTGTAAAGGAAGTGTAAGCATTTAAGAGAAGCCCCCATCTTGGTCCATGAAATCACCCCCTAAACATCCACAGAATCGTTCAACAGTTTTCAAATATCTTTTAAAATTGTGAAACATTTGCTGAAGCAAAATCTTACCAGAAGCCCAATATGTAAAACAGATAAAAGCTCATCTACTGGGGAGGGAGGGTGTGCCGCTCTCTCCATCCAGACAGCCACTATGGAGGTCCCCACAAAACCCCCAGGGCTCTTCCGAGAGCAATCTGAAAACCTATAAAAAGTTACCAAGACTGGAAATAAGGGTATCTGGTACCCAGTCCTCACTCCATCCTGATTCTGTCATTAATAAGTTACATGACCTTGAATGGGTCCTTTTACCTCTACAGATTTCCATTTTCTCATCCAAATTTAGGGAAGCAGAGTCAATAATCCCTGAGATGCTTCCAAGCCTGAGGTTCTATGAGTTCATTTCGATTCACACGTTTTAATATCCCTGCCAGGACTGCATTTTCACAGAAGACAAAGTCTTAGGGCAAAGCAATAAACATCAGATTGGGGAAAGTCATCCTCTTCCCTGTAAAAAGGAGAGGTATGAAAGGAGGAGATGAGACGGCTGCGGCCCCCTTGACACCATGTATAAGGACGGGGTGGAATACACGGTCGCAAGGGAGGAGGCAGGGAGTCAACTGAACAGAAGTCACAGGTCCCAGACAAATGGATGCATTTTCTAAAATACAGTCAAACCAAGTCACCCTGCCCCAAAGAAAGTCCTGGCCAACAGAGGTGGCTTCCTACCTGAGTCACTGGCCATGTGTGTCCAGCTGTAAGAGCCTGGAATTCAGAGACCAGAGTGACTTAACACTGAGAGAGAACTTGATTAATAAAATGAAACAGGGAAGGCACGTCACAGCCCAGCTCCTCCCTGAGCCCTGCCCATGTCTACATTTGGAGAACAGGTTAAGTCAAGCGATCACAGGGCATCAGAGACTCCCAGGGTCCACAGGTCCAAGCAGAGGAACCAGGCATGAAGATGGAGTTCAGGGTCCATTATCTGAACTCTCCACTCTGTGGATGACTACTTTTACTGTCTTCCTTTTCTTGCATTTACTTCCATTTATTTCCAGGCAAGCTTCCACCTTGCCTGACATGAATAAAGGGCAAAAGACTTGACTTTGCATGGTAGAGACTTCAGAATGAATTCAAAGTAGGAGGGCCTTGTAGGAGTCCTCCACTAGGACTAGGGGGCAGCCCAGTGGGAAGGAGGTAGAATATTGCACTTGACCTGTGTTTGGACAGCAAGCACACAATAATTACTTAAACTCTAGACTTCTTTGGCAAGCTTTGGTGGAGAAAGCTTGTTGGTCCATGAAATCACGCCCTAAACAGTTTTCAACAGCTTTCAAATACCTTTTAAAATTGTGAAACATTTGCTGAAGCAAAATCTTTGTTGGTGGAGCTTTGGAGGGAGAACTAAACCCCCTCCACCGCCAGTCGCTCCATGGTACAACCACTGCCAGCTCAAGATTGTTGATTAGAATGGCCCTGAGGCTGGGGGCCACTCCTGGAAATCTGGCTGGACCACAGGGAGACCATCGGAGCTGAGGCAGTCGGTGAATGGAGGAGTGGAGGTCATGTCATTCTCCCCACTCTCAGTAATGATGGATGGCATCTCTGGAACCTGCCTCAGCTGCTCGCAGCAGCTAATGTCTGTCCCTTAGCTTTACCTCTGGTACGTTAGTCGCTTCTCCATTATAACGTGAAGCCTATCGTTCTGTAATGATATGTTTACAAGTCAGCCTGTCCCACTAGACCGTAGGCTGCCAGAGACCCTCTCCAATTTTCTGCCAGGAAACAGAGTAAGTGCTCACTCAATGGTTGTAGAATAAATGATGTTAGTCATATCTCCTTTGATTCATGCATCGTGGATCCCCACCATGATTCAGGGTGTCTATCACTTGAAGCCACACAGTCTATATAAGGTGTGCCTGAAAGCTGCACTTCCATACAGCCGAGCTGGTCTGCCTGTCCTTTCCAAACCATCCTCTACTGTTTAGAGTTGGTGCTAACCTATGCAAGCGTAAATCCTGCCCCTACTATAAATGCTGAATTTATCATGGCACTGGTACCTACAATTCTGCCACGGGCAAGCATATTTCTTAAACTAAGTCATGCTCTCCTCCTGGATTCTCTTATCCTTTATAAGTAATAGCAGGAAGTGTAAGGAGACAATTGCCCTGGGGTTACCCATGCTTTGCTTTTACAGGTATTGACCAATTGTGATCTGATGCCTAGACTAGAAAGAACTTGAAGATGGGCTAGTCCCTTGAGGGAGCAGACATTACTCCTATTAATCATCTAGGGAAAAGGTAGCTCCTGGAGCAGAAGATAGGGAACACAAGAGAAAACAGACTGCCCAAGTTGTGTACTGCAAAAGCCTATACACACTCAATGCAAGCTGAGAGAGTATTTGCCACGAGGGGGCAGCAGTCACTGGACAGGGAGGTCTCTGCAAGGAGCAGACCCATTGAGAAAGACCAGGGAGAGAGCAGCCTGATCTAATACCTGGTTTTAAGCTCCTCTTCGTGTATAATTCCCTTCTGCTTTCCCAGGCCCTCAGTCATGTTGGTTCAGCTTTCGAGTCTATTTCAACTAATCACTGGGGTCCTAGGGAAGGGTCTGGTACTCCCTCAAACCCGAGGAGTAAAAGGGAAGCAGCCCCTCTGGATGAGCATGGGGGTGGCAATAGTGGTAACTTAGGTCTCCAGTGGGAAGACGATCTGGAGGACAAGAGTTGAAAAGAATCTTTCCCTTCATGGTGGGAAAGAGAATTTCACTGAAGGAGGGGGAAAGGCACATGCAAATGTGCTTGGAATAAAATTTTACCCACTTGAAAATGTTCCAGCAAGTTCGCCCACCCAACGTATCTTCCGTATGTCACTTTCCACTTATAACGGCTCCCTCCTAAATGGATCTATAATGTTCCTAATGGGAGAGCATTTTTCCATTCTGTGCAGAACATCCAGTGCCACAAAAATTGTTGTGACATGTGCAGCCCAAATGCCAGTCCTCTGGCAAAATGCAGAGGCCTGTTCTTGCCATTCTCTTTTAGAAATGGCAGCTTCTATGCAAGACCATGTGAACAACACTATATAGTTGTAAGGATATCTATTTCGTCCCTTTGTCAGCTTTGAGGCCAGCATCAGCATCTCTTCTCATCCCTGCAGAAGGATCCACTTGGACCTGGGGACCAAAGTAGAGGCAAGGGAGGTGGAGAAGGTTCACCCCTCTCCCCGGTGATGGTCCCCGTTGCCATAGTGACAGGTTCAAGGGCAAGTATGTGACCTAAGATGATCCCACTCAGAGCCAAGTTCAGGATGGTTGTTTAATGACTGTGGAAAAGCAAGTATGTAGTCTTGTTGCTGCTGCAAATCACTTTGCTACCATAAATGGCAAAACAATCCAGAGACAAAAACTAACACTTGGAGGAGGACAGAACAGAGACAATCACAGAAAAACAGAGCCAGGGCCCTGAACATACCGTGCCCAGAGGTCTTCTTCTCTGTGTACTTTTCAGTTACATGAACCAATAAATTATCCTTGTTGTTAAGCCCAGTCCAAATGGAGTTGTCTGGTACACGCAACCAAAACTGTGACCAATTGAGAGAGTTCTGGAACCCAACAGTGATCTAGGATGAGAGGAGAGGGGAAGGAATGTCAGTGTGACACTGGGTCCAGGCAGACAGTCAGGTAACGGCAGGACTTGACAGGGGTGTGTCCTGGGGGTGCAGACCTCTCAGCCCTGGTTGCCAGCCTCTGGTGGAAGCCAG